GTTTTGGATCAGGAGGCAGTAGTGTCGTTGGGTGATATTTAGGTCAATGAGCGCCTGAATTATGTGGAGACGCCTGTGGCCATTCTGGAGAGGAAGATGAAAGTTCTGCGGAACAAGGAGATACCTTTGGTGAAGGTACAGTGGGAGCATCGGAGGGGATCCGAGTGGACGTAGGAGCCGGAGGCTGAGATGCGAGAGCATTACCCAGCGTTGTTTACCCCAGCAGACTTCGAGGACGCAGTCTAGTTCAAGTGGGGGAGAATTGTAACGCCCCGATTCTCAGGTATCGATTTTATATAAGAATTTTCTTGATTTCAAGGTCTACTCGACGAGTCGGTTGCCCTACTCGTCGAGTAGCAGCGGGTTTGTTCGCGTGTTTTAGTGACCTACTCGTCGAGTCCAAAAAGGAACTCGACGAGTAGGAGCTGGAGGATGAAGCCCTAACTTCCGGGGTTTTTCACCCTATTTAAAGGATCATTGGCCTCCCCTTTACTGCTTCTTGTCCCTCTCAGACCCTAAATCGAGTGTGTGTGTTCTTTTGGTGTGTTCAAGCTTGGAGGAGGAATTTTGGAGGAGAAAACACTTTTGGGAAAGCAAGGAAATCAAGGCTAGGAACTCGTGGGGAGCTAAGAGATTCATCAGTTGTCACTCTCTGGAAGGTATTAAGTTGTTTCTTTGGCTCATTTCTCTTTTAACCTCTTTTGCATGAGTTTTAAGAAAGGTTTCTTGTGCTTAAGCCAAGATTTGAAGTTGTAACTTCAGATCTAGACTCCCCTTGACCTCTAGATTCATAAAGTCATCAGCTTTGCCTAGTATGAGCCTTCCCTCAAGGGTGTAACTTCATTGCAAGCTTAGTTTTGTTATTTTAGGGTCTTAAAAGCCTTGCATGCACGTAAAGTTTGCAACTTTACGTGATAAGCATGCCTAAGTAAGTTGGATCTGCAATTTGGAGCCTTGGCATGGCTTAAAAAGTGTCTGTATGGTTGAAGGACTGAAGGGACTCGGCGAGTCGCATGGTCGACTCGGCGAGTCATATGAAGATGGGCATGGACCCGACGAGTTGGGTAAACAACTCGGCGAGCCCGTTGAAGATTGTCGTAGACTCGACGAGTTGGATGAACAACTCTGCGAGTCAGTTAGGGTTTCCCAATTAATGGATGCGTGTGGACTCCTCGAGTGCAAGAAGGAAACCCGATGAGTGCCGTGGAGCTTCGACCACGAGCCTTAGGAACTCGACGAGTCACTCTGGTGACTCGGCGAGCGGACAAGTATTGCAAGAAACTCGGCGAGTAGCTGAGGGTACTCGACGAGTTGAGGTCAACATGGACTGTTGACCTTGACAGTTGACTTTGACTTTGACCAAGGGTTGACCAGTTGACTTCTGGGGTATTCAGGAATTTATAAACCTTATGATGTGTTGGGTATAGGTGGTGGGGTTCGTGGCGGTGATTCAAGAGTTGAGCTTTCTAGTTTCAAATGACAGTTGCGATGTGAGTTCTCCTCACTATATCAACAGGGTCTACGGCACCAAGGCCGACCCTTTATGATTTACATCATGGGTTAGGATGGTCGTTATGTTATTACTATGTTAGATTACATCCTGGTATAGGGTGATTGCTATGTTATTGCTATGCTAGATTTCATCCTGGTTTAGGATGGTTGCTATGTTAGATTTCATCCTGGTTTCGGATGGTTGCTATGCTAGAGATCGGTTAGATCGGTATCCTGGTTATAGGATGGTTGCCATGTTAGTGATCTGTTAGATCTGCATGTTTACTTCTTCATATGTATGTGCACATGTTTGTTGATCTGGGGAAAGGGTTGAGGCAGATCCTGTTGTGTGCAGCAGGCCAAGACACCCTGGGCGGACCGGGTAGACTGCAGGCCCGGGCCGGGCAAACCTAGTCAGGCCGAAGGCCCAGCGAGCGGTCCGGATAGGCTGAAGGCGCCGAGGAGGGCGGTCCAGACGTACCGAGGGCTCGGAGAGCGGTCCAGATAGACTGAGGACCGGAAGTCGGTCCAGTCAGACTGATGGCTCATTATGCATGATGTATCTGTTTGCTTATGTGTTACGATTATGACTGTATGGCGTTGGTATTTTGGGGGTAACTCACTAAGCCTTCGAGCTTACATTTATCGATTATTGTTTCATGTACTTCTGATGATCGCGGGAAGGCAAAGGCGTGATCGTACCGCTCCTCACATTTTATGTTTTATGATTTGATTATGGGATACTCTGACAATATACTATTTTGAAAAATAAGTTTGTAATGATCATGTGGTTTGAAACGTTTTAAAAAGTTTTATATTTGCTCAAATTTTGTGGATGTTACAAACGGAGTTGACACGATACCTAAACGAGCGGTCACTTAAATACAATAAAGATTTTGACATTCTACTTTGGTGGAAACAAAATGCATCTCTTTATCCTATTCTAGCTCGTATGGAGAAAGGTATAGCAAACAACTAGAAATCCTCTTGTTGATCTTTTGGAAGTAAACAACACAAACGTCGTGCATCTAATGGTTCACACCCAACACAAGCAAGAAGGAGATAATGGAGAGAGGAGGAATGAGAGTATAATTTCGGCTATCCTTAGGAAGATATGATCGCCGAAATATGAAGGGCTATAGGTCCTTATATAGTGCAACTAGGAAACCCTAGATAAGCCCAAAACCAACATAATAATATTATTTTTAATTGGTATTTATCCAGCTTCCCAGTTATCTTCTAAGGATAATTCCATAAAACTAAAAACCTCTAGAAACCGTCCACCCCATGTGTGGAAGGTTCTGGAGCCTTTTGCTCAACTATTAAACAACTGCACTTTAGTCCCTGCACTTTTAGTTAATTCCATTAATCTCGAAATTAATTCCAAATAATTTCTGATTAATTATTAATTAAATATTACTATTTCTAATTAATATATTATTCTCATAATATATTAATAAATTATTTATTTTAATTTATTAATCAAATAATAAATCAATCTTTCTCTCCAAAAATCATCATGTCCAATTACTAGGTTTGAGGACAACCCAAAAGGACTGTGCTACTATCAATTCAAGTTTATATCAATTATAATTATGGGCTTAGACACCTAATCCAACAAGATCCTAAACAGATGTATGTGTTTGGTGTCATTTGTGCTTAATCATTTCTAGGTTCATTAGAGTATATGTGTACTATAAATCAGATTCATGTTTGTATTCTTATATATAAGATTTATGGGCTTTTAATGTGCTCTTGTATGTTCGATTTTTGACTTTTGTATATGTGTTCATCTGGAGAGAGAGAGAGAGAGAGAGAGAGAGAGAGAGAGAGAGAGAGAGAGAGAGAGAGAGTTGTGTATATATTTGGAGTTTTCGGAGCTATGTAAATTTTCTGATGACTGAAGTTTCCAACGATTAAGGTTACAAAGGAAGCATAAGTGTCGACGGCAGTGGTGGCCAGTGTTGGTGGTGGCAGTGATGTTGACCGGTGATGGTGGTCTTTTGCATTATAAGAAAGAAAGCGAGAGAGAGAGAGAGAGAGAGAGAGAGGGGGAAGCTGAGGTAAGGGTAATATTTTCTTTTAATCATAGAAGTACTTAAATGAAAAAAAACTTAAAAAGCAAAAAGTAAGCACAAAATCGTCATTATAAAAAAGTTCAAAGAAAATTAGACCAAAATCTCAACAAATTAAAAAAATTTAGACTTCTGGTGCTAGTACAAACTTGTTTGGACCAAAGTGTCAGTTTTAAGCTAACCACAATGACCATTCTTTCAATTTTGTGTAAATAAAACAAATAATGGATGTCATGTGTTCGATTTGAGGATCGTTGTGCTTCTTTTTTTAAACTGTATTTTCCGTTTCCGTTCTATATTGATAAAACATTAGATGACCGTAAAATGTATTAGGCTTAACGGAGTCGACCTCGGTGAAGCTCGACATGTTCAAGCTAGCCTCGATAAACACCGCGCCATCCTCTCAGCATGTCAAGTTCGGTGACCAAACTCGATGGGACGGTACCGATGAGAGAAAAAGAGTATAATTTTAAATTTAATATATTATCGTTTTTTAAAAAATTTATACCTTTTTTTTAATTTCAAATTTTTACCTACTTTTCAACCAATATAAATATCAATCACTACCTTATTTTATACCACATTACAATCTCCCATTTTTCACTCAAAAATTCATTATTTTTGTGAAAAAAAAAATGGTTTCCCCTTCCAACCCAAAAACTCCCAAAACTAACAAAAAAAATACCCCCAAAAAAAATCCAATCTCACCTTTATCACCTACCTTCATCCAAAATCATAGTAATCGTCATATTTATTCACCTCTTAGTTACGATTATCCCGATGCATACTACCCATATCCTATCCAAACTCAACCACAATTTCAATCTCAATCTCAGTCTCGGCCCCAATTTCAATTTCAATCTCAAGTATCCCAAATGAAAAATGAGTTGAACCCATTTGACCACCTTCCCGACTCACAATACCAATTTCAATCTCAAACCCAAACCCAAACCCAATTTGAAACTCACTCACAACCCGATGTCGTACCCAAAACGGTTTCCGGGCCGGAAGAAATTTGACGTCAATCGGAACCCAAAAAAATGGTAAACTTTTGAAACAGTGTGACAAATCCTACAGAACGCCTACGTTGCATTTGATGTGGGAAGTATTACACCGCTTTCTCTAGTTTTATTAATCACCTAGATTCTACAATGATTGAAACGTAGAAGTTCAAGTGTTTGAATATCACCTACCTCCGATTTTTATCTTTTTTTTTTTAAATAAGTTGACATGTCTTTCCATGTTTTTATAGAACCAAAAAAAAGTGTTTTATGGCATTAACCACTTATACCACTTCTAAAAATGTAAATTCAGCATAATTTGTTATCTGTTTTAAACATATTTTACATGTCAAAACTAGGAATAACTTTTCCTTTTCTATACTTTTAACAGTATACAAGCACCATTTTATTTTCAAAAGCTAGTAAACATGTGTCAAAAACTAGTAAAAATACCTTCGCAAATGGTTCCCACGTTTTCCTCTTCCCCTTCAAACTCTCCATTGCTTTCTTTCTCTCTCGTCTCTTTCCCCAGAAACCATGCCTTTGACACACTTTTTTAATCAAATTCCCCAATCGTGAATTCAATTCAGGTGTAATCCAATTGCAATTGTTAAGATATGTGGAGTTGTTGATTTCTTTCAAACTCCATATATCTCTCAGAAGATTTGATTCATTTTTAGAATAATTTTAAACCCGTGGGTGTAATACGATTGAATGATTTGATGATCCTTGAACAAGTTGATGTTAAAAGTTTGCATCTCTTTTTTTGAGAATTGATGGGAGGGTTAAGGGATTTTGGTAGCGTGATGCATTATTCTGATTTTGGGTTTTGAAAGGACCGAAAGCATGGGGTGTTTTTCATCAAAAGAAAAAAGAAGCTCAAGGAGACACGGAGCTGGAGGTCAAAGAGGGAGAGGCCCGATTGTACCCAGTTCACCTCCTCGTGTACCTCAGCCTGCGTCAGGTAAGCCTCACTTTTTTGGGAAATTTATAGCTTCCATCAATATTTCATTCACAATATCACATTGGTGTTCGATCTTCATAGATTTACTGTATTTTTCTTATAAGCAGGATCATGATAAAGCATCAAATGCGATTTACGTTTTGTCACAAAAATTTGAATTTCGAAAAGCAACAAATAACATTTTGATCATGGTCACTAAATTATGGGCAAAGATCGATTTTATGATGTCAAATTTATATGTTAAAGACTTGTCAAAATGGTTCCGGGTTTTGAACACGGTTTTGTCGTTTGATAAATTCTTATATTTTTATAAGAATTTCACATGTTAGATATGATCACGAAAATTCTTATAAAAAGTAATGATCTATATCTTTTGTTTAAATCAAATTAGGGCGTGTTCGGTACGGAGCTTTTGGGAGCGTTTGAGAGCTTCTAGCTTCTAGCGTTTGACAAAACGCTCCGTTTTGAACAGAAAGCTTTGTTTGACACTATAAGCTTCTAGCGTTTAATTTAAACAAAACGCTCCAAATCCAAATGCTACTTCATGTAGCGTTTAACAAAATGCTACAAGCTACAAGCCACCCGCTACAAGCTACCCACTATCAGCTAATTTTGCCGACCACGCCCTTAAGCTATACAGAGTGGGCTCGACATGAGCTGAGTCAACTCGGCAAACACCACGTCCTCATCTCAGCATTGCAAGCTTGGTAATCCAACTAAGTAACAACTTGTCATGTCTCTCTCCTCTCATGCCACACTATCTCTTCTCCATCTCTTCTTCTGTAACCCTACAAAACTCACTATTTTCTTGCTAGAGCTGAGGTGGAGTCGATCATGTCCGGCACCACTCCTCTCAACTTAGGCTATATTTTTTGTGTAACGGAAAAAAATTGTGAAGCTATAAAATTTTAATAAAAAAATAAAGCGGGTCAAATATGTCTAAAGTCCCCAAACCTGTTTCCCAATGCTTAGAATTTCTTAATCGTTTTATTAAAAAATAAAGTGATATTTAAATAATCTATAATTTATAATCATATATTAAGTTTTCCTTTATCACAACTTATACAATAAATTGGTTTCTAGACAAAAATACAACCACACTTAACTATATAACACGATCAGTTCTCACGTTTTTACCAATTTATAACAACTAAATCTGAACCGATTAAGAACGATACAAATAAAAGGTCCCAAAATGGAACTTTTTGGCATATTTCGTTTAAAACACTAGTTCTTTGCATAATTACGAAAAAGCCAAAACTTTCATACTTAAAAGTGCATATTTAAAACCCCATAAAAAAAAGAGTGCTGTCGAGTCGATCCAACCCAACCCACTCATTTATGTGCCTTTGGATGACTTTAAAATTATTTGTTTCTTTTTGAGCTAAACTTTTTAGTTTATCCATTTAACTCGTTTTATTTTCACATATATTGATTAAAGTTGGCAAGTTTTGTCGTATTGTCCAATGAAAAATGTCATTATTGAATACTTTTTGTGCAGTGAACCAACGAAGGGTTCAAGCAGAAGCCAAGCCTGTTTCTCCCTCAAAGAGAACACGCAATGAAGTAGTTAACAACCAACCTCCGACCAAACCAGCAGCCGGAAATAATAATATTGCAGCTCAAACTTTCACTTTCCGGGAGCTGGCTGCTGTCACCAAGAACTTCCGGCAAGACTCCCTCATTGGTGAAGGTGGATTTGGCCGAGTTTACAAGGGAAAACTCGCTAAAACAGGCCAGGTAACTTCAGTTTAAAACAAAACAGGTTGAGTTGACTGTCAACTTTTCATAATTAATTAACATATCAAATATGATGGAAAATAGGCTTTCATTTCGTTATTTTTTAATTCATAATGGAATTAATTATATATATTCTTTTTCGGTGGGTTAGGAAGTCGCTGTGAAGCAATTGGATCGCAACGGTTTGCAAGGAAACCGTGAATTTCTAGTGGAGGTTTTGATGTTGAGCCTTCTTCATCATCCGAATTTGGTGAATTTAATAGGATATTGTGCAGACGGCGATCAAAGACTTCTTGTCTACGAATATATGTCTGCGGGATCGCTGGAAGATCATCTACTCGGTAATATTTGTTTATGTAAAATAACAATAACACCCTTTTTATCAAGAAATTCACATTCGCATTGTTTCTAATTGATGCTGGATTGAAATTGTTTCAAAATTTCAGATCTTCCGCGAGGGAAAGCGCCGCTTCCTTGGTACACGAGGATGAAAATCGCATTAGACGCTGCAAAAGGTCTAGAATATTTGCACGATAAGGCTAACCCGCCCGTTATCTACCGTGACTTGAAGTCTTCCAACATCTTACTTGATCAAGATTTCAATGCCAAGCTCTCAGATTTTGGGCTAGCAAAACTTGGTCCCGTTGGGGATAAAACACATGTGTCATCACGAGTGATGGGAACTTATGGATATTGTGCGCCTGAGTATCAACGAACGGGTCAATTAACTGTTAAATCTGATGTTTATAGCTTTGGAGTTGTTCTGTTGGAACTCATCACCGGAAAGAGAGCCATCGATCCCACGAGGAAAAACGAACAACAAAATCTTGTTTGTTGGGTAATTAACTGATTTTACTAATAAAAATCTAACGCTCCTTTACTTTACCCAAAAAAAAAAAAAAACATAATTACTAATATAGCCCTCACGTGGAAACCGTAGAGCTGATTTTTTTTCCTTTTTTGTGTTAAATTTGCTGTTGAACAATTATGAACAGGCGGAGCCAATTTTCACGGACCCACGGAGGCTAAAGGAACTGGCGGATCCATTACTGAAAGGAAACCATCCGGCGAAAGGTTTCAACCAAGCAGTAGCCGTCGCAGGCATGTGTGTCAACAACGACGCGTCGGTCCGCCCTTTGATCAGTGATGTCGTCACTGCTCTTACTTTTCTCGGAGAGGGAAACGAAGACAACAAAGTAGAACTAATCGATTCTCCAAGTCCAACCGAAGCATCTCGACCTTCATCTCTTAAAATAAAAGCATCCGCTAGTGATCGAGAAAAAGCAGTAGCGGAAGCCATGGAATGGGGTACGAGTTCAAGACCAGGTGGTGGAAAGAAACCGAGGGCTTCAAGATCAATGCGTTAGATCTTCAAACATAAATTCCAGTTGTTTGAGTCGGTTTTTGATTGTGAATATGTATACTGATTTATTAACCAAAAAGGGAAGCATACTTTCAATCAATTTTGTTAAATTAAAAACGACCACGAAATATTCAAAACGTACATTTTATTTGTGAAGAATTGGGGAAACCTGAGTTTCAGCTCTGTGCAGCATTCATATTGATGTGCCCATATTTTTGCATGACCTTCTTAGTTGCAAGAGCTGCAGCCTCACTTGCACGAAATGTTCCAGTCACCATGATTGCAGCAAACTCCATCCCGATTTCTTCCTGCAACTTGCTTCTAGCATCTCCAAGAGGATCCACATTTGGCTTTGCATCTTCATCTTTCCCACTAGTTTGCTCCTTTGAGGCTTGAATTTTACTACTTTCTGTTTCTGTTGACCAGTTGAGTTGGTTTGTTACTGGAGATTGCCTGAACTGGGGAGCTTGGGGGACTGCACCCGCCCTCAATGTGGTCTCTAGATTTTGTATCATGGGCACTGCAAAACACATCCACTTGTTAACAACTTTTGTTTTTTTATATCAAGGTTAAATGCAAGAAATAGCAATGTACTTTCTTTGATTTGTTTATTATAGAATTCTAACAACATTGTACTTTGGAAAATATTCTTAATTAAAGCAATTTCTAATGCTATAATGTCATAATAAGAAAGTTTGAAGTATGAGTATATCTGGGTAGATTTTCTAAAATAAGAAAAAGTTTATTATAAGTACAATGCTGTAATGGAAAGAAATTAAGGTAGGATGCTATAATACAAAAATAAATAAAGTATGTTGTTATTTCTTACATGTAACCCATCTATATAAGGTGTTACAACAGACAAAAAAAATTAATTTTAGGTCACCACACAAAAAGAACCAGAATGAGGACAATAAAATGAAGAGTAAAGGTGATAGCATATCAGAATAGCAAAGTTAACTTTCTTGCTTTAGTTTATAACCAGTCAAATTTTGACTTTAGAACTCAACTTGGTCCTTTGTAATTCTGGAATTTGATATGGATTTCTACTCAAATTTCACTACCTTCATACTAAAAACAGATGTTTAAATGCTTTTTATAAACAAAATAAAGAAGACTTTTGGACCACAATCAAAGCAATTAATTTCAAGTACTGATACCTAGTGAGAATAAAACTAAATTAAGATTAAAACTTACCAAAGAATAAAGGACAAACTACAGAAAAAACACATGTACTTTCATATGGATTCGGCCACTTGACTATTTTCTATAGTAATTATCCCATTATATTTTTTTGAACTGTTACAAGAAACATTTGCTGAAAAAACATCTTTTGTATTTCCAAATTCAAGATTGTCTCATAAGATTACTTTCTTCATATCAAAGTAATGATAGCATAAATGGGAAAGATGGGAAACTTACTAATAAGAGCACCCATTGGACTGCTTGTGACTTCATTGGGGAGGTTAAGAATGTAGTCTGGAATGTTGTTGCCTACCAAAAATTGTGTGATTTCACTACTGAAGTTATTACAATTATGTGCCAATAAACTGTAACTTTCTGCTGTGTATCGAGGGGTTATCTCCTGTAAATACATCTCAAAAACATCTTTTGGGATATGAGTGATACCAAGATCCACCACTCTCATTGGAGTCCCATATGGAGCTGTTCCAGCCACAACCTCTTGTATTCCCCTTCCATAATAATACTCTCTACCATATACCACTACTCCTGTGTGCCTGATATAAAACAAATCTCAGTTCACTTAAACTAATGATCTGATGATGAAAAAATAGAAAACGAGATTATTTACCATATTGCCTCGATAGTTTTTCCCAAAAATGACATGGAAAGCTGACGAGCTAGCCCATGGCTTAGGTCATACACATGCAAACTCACCTTGTGACCCTCCTATAGATGAAGTTTACAAATGGTTAACAATGAAAAAGAACTAATCAAAGCATGATATGGCATAAGATTCTTGAGTGAGTACTTAGAGATTCATACCTCTGCCATTTTTCACAATCAAACAGAAACTCAAGTTTCAAAAGCTACAGTGCCTAGTCTGCAGGGTCTCTGTTAAGCTGAACAAATGGACAACTCTACAAGAAAAAAAGCAGCAATCAGCAAAGATAAAAAGAAACATAAAATAAACATGTTGCCAAAACCGTTTGTAAAACAAATCTAATAATGAATAACTAAAGCAAATCTGCTTTCTTTTCCTGTCTTTTTGTAAAAAGAAAAAAAAAAATCTAGCCTCGAAGCTTATCAGAATGTTAAATGTGCTAACTCAATCTATGCCTTTCCATCAAAAAGCCTCTCTCCCCCGAGAGATCACCATGAATTCAAAAATCAAAACACACTAAATCTAACCTTATTCAACTCCACAACAAATTGCAAATATATTTTGAATAGTTAAACACCGAAAAAAAAACAACAAAACATAGAAGAATCGCATGCATCAGATATATCATAATATACATAAAATATGTTACATGTCAATCACAATTGAAGTACATAGCATTGAAGATAACTCAAAATACGATGCCATTGCGGTGATATTAGGATAATAATAAGGAAATTCGGTATATTGTTCGCGAGAAGAAGATGAATTAGTATAAAGACATAAAGCTCTTACCTGAAACGTGATGAGCGTAGAGAGAATCAGAGAAATAACAAAACTTGGGGAAGAATTTATGAGACAGACACACAACTGCATTCGTCGTATTTAGCCGTGAACTTTCTAGAATCCACCCATGTAGAAAAACGTTGACCGGTTGATTTTCTTTAAGTTTGTTGATCAAATTACGTGTTTTACTTTTAGCATAGTTTTTCTTTAGAATCCGAAGTATATATTTTTATGAGAAAATATATTTTTAATTTAAATTATTTAGAACAAATCCGAAATAGATCCGGTCATTCTCCAGTTGGCTCAAAATTTGTTATACAAATTTGTTCCAAAATTTACATTTTTAGACCAGATTTTAAATTTTGTTACAAATTTGGTCCAAACTTTACTTTTTTGGCTCAAATTTTAGAATTTTATTATGAATTCATCCTAACTTTAATTTTTTTTTACAACTTTTTTCCTCAAAGAATTGTTTCTAATATGTTTTTTTCTTTATAAAATCATATTTATAAAAAAAAAGTATTTTCACATAAAAAATCTTATATTTTCTATATAAATTTTTTTTTAAAAAATTTTTGTATATGAAATATTTAGTTATAAAAATAGGTATTTATTAAGTATATAAATATATATAAATCCGTTTTTATAAAAAAAATGTATACAAAAACGTATTTCACAAAAAAAAAATGTATACACACACCTATTTTATCTATATTTTTTTTTTATAAAATCGTGTTTGTTTACATTTTTTTTTATAAAAACGTGTTTGAATAATTTTTTATATAATACGTGTTTGTATAAATTTTATAAAATGTATACAAACACAGTTTTATAAAATATATACAAACACGCATTATATAAAAAATTATTCAAACACGTTTTTATAAAATCTATACAAACACGATTTTATAAAATGTATACAAACACGATTTTATAAAATATATACAAACACACATTATATAAAAAATTATTCAAACACGTTTTTTATAAAATGTATACAAACACGATTTTATAAAATGTATACAAACACGTATTATATAAAAAAATTATTCAAACACGTTTTTATAAAAAAAAAATATAAATAAACAAGATTTTATAAAAAAAAATATAGATACACACACCTATATATATATATATATATATATATATATATATATATATATATATATATATATATATATATATAAAGGTGATAGGTGTTTGTATATATATTTTTTGTAAAATATGTTTTTGTATACATTTTTTTTATAAAAAATGTAACAACGTAAATTTTCAAAACAATTTTTCATTTTTAAAACATAATGTCATTCATAAGATATCATAAGAATCCATTGTGTCACATGTCATCATAATAAAACAAATCCCAAGATCTCCAATACATAAATCCCATCAGTGTGGCCTCTTTCCCAAAAATAAATCCCATCAGTGTGTACAGATCATGCCGGCGCCTTCTCGCGATCCTCACTGGTACCTGAAACACATCACACAAACACTGTAAGCATAAATGCTTAATGAGTTTCCCAAAATACCACATACGCACATACGCCACTCAAGGCTATAGCTCTACAAGACCTTCCGGTCCATGTGTCTCAGGGGACTTCCGTCCCACAATCCTGGTTGACCTTCCGGTCCATATCATAATGACCTTCCGGTCCATAACATACTACCCATAACATAACATAACACATACATGTTAAATAATAACATACATCACATACTCCTCTTAGCACATAAGACCTTCCGATCACACATATTACCACTCTAGGTAAAGTATAGTGAGAAGACTCACCTCGTACGATGTCGGATAACCTCTCGTGCTCGATAACCCGACCTAGCCTTCTCCTATCAACATAATAACATCTCTAATCAATACTTTCTCTTGTCCTCATTTCTAAGGAATGGGTAGAAGACCATTCTACCCCTCCCAGATCTTTCTCTAGAACTAGCTTGACCAGAACCCTAAGGTCAACTGAAGTCAACTCAAGTCAATGGTCAAACTTTGACCAGACTCGTCGAGTACACTTGTGTGACTCGGCGAGTCCGGTGTCTTCCGAATCCTCATAGATCCTCACTCGACTCGTCGAGTTAACCTTTCACTCGACGGGTTACCACCGGTCATGAATCGCGGGGCAACCCGACTCGAATCGTCGAGTCCCCTTATGGACTCGGCGAGTTCCTTCCATGGCAACACTCAAATGACCTTCTGAGGTCATATCTGTTTCTCTAACCTATAGATCTGACCTTACCATACTCAATAATCACGTAAAGGTCCGACCTTTACACTCATGCAACGTTCAATATGCTTCTTTTGGTGAAATAGCCTCTAAAATGGCAACCTAGGCTCATATCTCTAAGGAAGTAGCATAAAGCAGGGAGGTTGGGGCTCTCTGGACCTCTCAAGGTCCAGATCCAGAGTTTAACACTCAAAAGGGACATCATAAGCATCATATCCAAGCCAATAAAGGATAAAGAAAACCCTAGATTCAAGGGTTCTTCACCAAAACAGAAAAGGGTTCGATTTAATACCTCAAAGATGGAGTTTCCTTGCTTGAAATCACAGAATAGCAACCCCCTTGACCTTCTTTTGCTGGAATCTCCTTCTTCTTTGCAAAAACCACACCAACAAGGATTAAAATAGCCTTTCTCCTCACACCACACACTCAAGCTCACTAGGGTTTCTCTCTCTGGACTGGTAGCCGCAAATGAGGGCCATAAGGTTCCTTAAATAGGGCACATGCCCGAGGATTTAGGGTTTCCACCCACAGCGCCTACTCGGCGAGTCTACTCATGGACTCGTTGAGTAGTTCATTAAACTTATGTGGCCACCTCGCTTCTACTCGACGAGTTATAGCACCAACTCGTCGAGTAGGTCAATGATTCACAAAAATAAATAATTAAAATAATATACCTGGAAATCCGGGTGTTACAAAAACGGATTTGTGTATATATATATATATATATATATATATATATATATATATATATATATATATATATATATATATACTTAATAAATACATATTTTTATAACTAGATATTTCATATACAAAAAACTTTTTTAAAAAAGTTTTTATATATAAAATATAAGATTTTTATGTGAAAATACGTTTTTTGTATAAATATGATTTTATAAGGAAAAAACATATTAGAAACAATTTTTTAAGAAAAAAAATTGTAAAAAAACTAAAGTTATGATGAATTCATAATAAAATTCTAAAATTTGGGCAAAAAGGGTAAAGTTTGGACCAAATTTGTAACAAAATTTAAATTTTGGGCCAAAAGTGTAAATTTTAGACCAAATTTGTAATAAATTTTGAAATCTGGGCCAAAAATGTAATTTTTGAAAGTTGGATGACCTATTGACCGGGTCAAAGGGTTAAATTGAATACGATTACCGGTATTTGGGACTTAATTGAATAAAAAAAATATAGGGACTAAATCGATTATGATGTCAATATGTAGGGACTTTATTGCAGTTTTCCCATCATTTTATTGCGATACGTGATTACTTTTCGCACAAGACTTACGTCTAGCAAAAGGTACAAATATATACATCAAAATGGGTTGCGGGGTGCTAAGAAAATCATAGCAATTCACTTATGATTTTCCCAACATGTGTCGGTCATTGGACGTGTCTGGCAAAACTAGCGGGTAGTTGGCATGGAGGAGTTGAAGGGGGGCAAAGTAGGTAGTTGCACATGGCTCAATTTTTTTATTATATATTATACATACATTTATTTAAAAATAAAAAACTTATAATAGCGATAGGTGTCATTTTTTCTCTGAGTCGTCCCGGGCATTTTAGGATATTTACATCCTCAGGATCAACCATGGTAGTTGGTAACATTTTGTTAAATACTACATGAGATAGCTTTTTAGGTTTTGGCGTTTTATTTAAATTAAACGCAAAAACTTGTATTGTCAAACGAAATTTTTTGTTCAAAATGGTTTTGTCAAACGCTAGAAGTTAGAAGCTCTCAAACGCTCCATGTCAAACATATACATTATTCAATTTAAAATTTCAATTTTTTTTTACCACCACTTAACGCCTCTAAACACATATACAAAAAGACCCACCAATCACGTTAGTTACTTGTAATTCTGTAATATCATGTTTGTTTTAAGGTATAATTAAAATTTTGGTTAAATAATTAAAGACTGATTTTTGAGTGAGTACGTAGACCATCATACCTCTTCCATTTTTCATAATCAAATAGAAATTCAAGTTTCAAGAGTTATAATGCCTCGTTTTGCAGTGTCTCTCGTAAGTTGAACAATGAAAAACTCTTGAAAAAAAAAGAATAAAGAGAACACATAAAATAAAAATGTTGCCAAATCAATTCATGATTATATATATCAATATTGATTAAAAGATTTTAATTTTGCTTCCCTAAATCGTTTGCAGATCGTAAGTAATCCCTATACTGTTTTGCAAAATAAGTCTAATAAAGAATAACTAATTGTGATTGACATAGGAACTAAATGCGTAGGAGATGGGATTTGCGTAGGAATTAAATGCGTAAGAGATGAGATTGGCGTAGGAAACTGGTCAATTAAATACGATATTATATTTGTTATGTAATGTCAAACTTGAAGATTGGGTTGATTTTTGGATTTAAGAATTTAATAGTGACGGAAACTTTAATGTTAAAGATATGAGAAAAACAATTTGAAAATATTGTGTTGTTGGATAATGAAAGGAATACTTCATGAAACAAAGAAAATTAATATGTTTTTGGCGTTTATCACTAGATAGGTTACCAAGTCGAAGTTAGTTGTCTTATAAAGGTGTTGGCATTCATACTACTTTTGTTATCTTTGTTATGTAATGTCAAACTTGAAGATGCAGTTGATTTTTAGATGTAAGAATTAGTATTGATGGAAACTTTAATCTTAAAGATACGGGAAAAACAAATTGAAGATATTATGTTGTTGGATAATGAAAAATGAAAGGGAGACTTCATGAAACAAAGAAAATTAATATTTTTTGGCGTTTATCACTAGGTAGGTTATTGACTCGAAGATGGTTTGCTTATAGAGGTGTTGGCATTCCTACTACTTTGTGTCCCTTGTGTAACATGCAACCGTAGACGGCGTCTCGTGTGTTTTATTGATTGTTGTATTGTTTTGAAGATGTGGGTGACTTTTGTCTCGGTGGTTAAATATGGATATTACGTGGGGAATTGGAAATTTTGTACTTAATTATGTGGGTTGATTCACATCTCCTCTTGAAGGTTCCTACGCATAACAAAGCTACTTCATTTTCCTGTCTTCTTGTAAAATTTATTTTTCTAGCCCATAGGCTTATCAAAATGTTACATGTTCTAACTAAATCTATTTATTTCCATCAAAAAGTCTCTTTCCCTGAGAGATGAGAGATCACCATGCGTTCAAAACATACTAAATCTAACCTTCTTCCAGTTCACAACAAAATGTATATATACATTTTTAATAGTTTATATATAATAATATAGATAAAATTTCTTACATATAAATCACAATTGAAGTGCATAATGACGAATCGAAGATAACTCAAAATTCGATGTCATGCATGTATTGTTCACGAGAAGATATGGATTAGGATAAAGTCATGAAGCTCTTACCTAAAATGTGACCAGCATAAAGAGCATTAACAAACATTTGGGAAGAAATTATAAATAGTGATATAGATGAATTTCGAGATTGTCACTTCTCTTAAGAATGATAGATAAAGAGAGACTACTTGAGAAAGTTTTCTGATTAATTTTCATTAATGATGCAATACATGAATTTATAATGCAAGTTACTAACAACTATTAACAAGAATCATGGGAACATGATAACAAAACATGATGCACTAATTTCGAGAAAATGAGGAAACGTGGTCTAGTGCCAAAATGCATGCATAATGGAAAAAAACAAAATAATGGAATTATCGAGCATGTGTTACGCTCGGTACCCGACAATATATGTTTTCCTGCATTGAACATATGTTGCCACATGTGCACCAAACATAAATTGAAGAAGGTTACAACCCTATATAGTTTTTCAAAAACCAAACATATGTTGTCAGTGAACGGCTTTTCACACATAAAATATATTTCGTGAGGCGGAGTTACAAATGGTGGAGTACAATCATTAATGTAATTAGCTCCTCACATCATTTAATGAATATTAACGCTTTCCATGTTGTTTACTCACATTTATTTTGTATAAACCTTACTGTACTTTGAAAAAATTAAGCTTATTTAAGATTAGGGTAAATTACACGAATGGTCCTTATGGTTTAGGGTAATCTGCGTGTTTGGTCCCTAAACTCTTTTTTTAACTCGGACAGTTCTTATTATATATTTTTGTTACGTGTTTGGTCCATGTTCAAGGTAAAAATACTATATTACCCTTATTAAATATTTTTTACTTTTCTTTTACTCGTTTTATATTATTAATATATTAAAAACAACAAATATATATTAAAAAATGCCCTGAAATTGCCGGTTCCAAAAAAAATCGTCGTATGACTCTGTCCCTTCTTCTTCGCTCTGTCTCTTCTTCCACCTGCATCGCGTCTACTACCTGCATCTCCTCCCACCTGCCGGAAACATCTCTATAGTCACCATCGACTGCCAATTTTACCCCAGCATCCCCGTATCCTTCCCCTTCTTGCTATATATCTCTAACATTGAAGAACAACCCATAACCCTTTCCCTTTCTTGCCTTTTATCTATCGCCATCTCCTACGCCGCCGCCGCCACCCTCCCTTCCTCACGCCTTTTCACAGTCGCTTATATCTCCCCCTTGGTCGATTGCATATTGAATTGTGGTTTTCTGTGAGCCTCAATTACTATCTCTTTGCTTCCATGGATTTGTTTCAGAGGTATTCTTGGAACTCCTCATCGGAATTTATGAAGTATCCAATCGCCATAGAGTGCTTTCGTTAAAGCCCTTGCTCGAAACTTCCCTCAAGAAAAAAAACAATTCACAGGTGGGTTTTGATTTGCTGCTGCTTTTTTCTTTAAATCGACCCCTCTTTCTTTCTCAAAATTCGTTCGACACCAAATATCTCAACTCCTCTCTAAGTCGATCGCAGGTTTCACCTTCTTTTTCTCCACCACTCAAATTGATATTGTTTTCCCTCTTTTTTTTCTCACATTCAATCGACACTTTTGTATCTTCTTGAATCGATAGCAGGTCTCCTTCCCCTTTCTACTTTTCTGTTCTGAATCGAAACTCCAGGTCAGTAATAACACAAGAATAAGGGATCGATATGAAAGGGACAATGGTGGTGACAGGGTGAAAGATAGTGGAAAGGAAGGTGGTGTAGAGTCTTCAATGATGGCTGTGCAGTGGGTTTTATTTTGGCTAGATTCAATAAACGAAGGTAGTGTTAAGGTGGATGAAGGATGATTAGGGAGGTGGGAATAAAGATGGAGAAAGGTTGTATTGGGTGGTTAGTGGTAGTAGACGGTGGCTGACGAAGGTGATTATTGAGTGGAAGAAGGGTGAAGATGATGGTGTTTTGGGGTGGTGAAGATGGTGGGTTCTCGGTGGGAATGGTGAAGGTATAAGGTGGGAGAATGATTGTACACGGTGGATGTTTAAGAAAAGACTAGTTGGAAGAGACAAGGGGTAAGGTGGGCCCCTTTTGCATTATTTTTTATAAAAAAAATAAAACAAGAAAAAGTAAAGTAAAAATAAAATCAGAAGGGTAAAATTGTCTTTCTATATCGACCAGGGACCAGACGCGTAATAAAAGCAAACAAGAAGGACCGTCCGAGTTAAAAAATTCTTCTTAAGGACCAACTACGCAAATTACCCCAAACCACAGGGACCATTCGTGTAATTTACCCTTAAGATTAAGACAAATAATCATTTGAAGAATATTCATAAACACAAGAAAACATAAGATCATATTAAGCATTAGTTGGTCTGACTATAAATAGTAAACATAATATAATCTACTAGATTATATATAATAGAAGTGCAAGTTTGATACCATAATAAATAACATATAAATTAAAAGTCAATTAAACAACTTATTTATAATATCAATATCTTCGACCCCGTGTTACGTAGGTATATCCCCTAGATTTATCATAACATCCGGTTACATGTTTATTCTTAGAGTTTCTCACTAAAACAATTATTTTAATGTCTTTATATTACGCACAAACCATATTTTTTAAATATAAGCAAATGTCTATCAAACATGCGAATCGTGAATTCGTGACAAGAAATATACTTTATTCGACAAACATAACTAATGAGTTATGTATGTGCTATTATTTTTACCAACTACCATAATTGTATACTTATAAGTGATACTTGTGAAATTATTTAATGTTTATGCATTAGAAATACATAAAGATGTTATATGTGTTTAATAATTTCTTTATAATTATTCTCTCTTTCTATTTAAAAAGTTTTCATTTCAAGTGTTGTTCCTCGTAAAATTGTCTGTTATGCTATCCAAGATAACCAAGAAAGAGAAATGGTTTGCAAGCTTCATCAATACCATCATAGGCGATTACTGTTGTGAAGACGCATAATGTCAACCCAAATCATTCACACTTCTATTATGATGGGGCCATATCAACCTATATATATATATATATATATATATATATATATATATATATATATATATATATATAGAGAGAGAGAGAGAGAGAGAGAGAGAGAGACGACATGGGTAATTAATGAATGTACAGACGTTTTTTGCATTAGAGATAAAAAATGGATTATTGATTTCAAGAAATAAATAAAAATTATGGAAAAATGGATTTCTGATGTCGATATAGACAACTTTGAACTTATCGAATAGTAGACTTGTCTTGTAAATAATATTAAAATTTGACAAGGGTTTAACATTGTATTCGTTATCGTTCCAGAACTAAAATATAATATCGTTATACTAATAAAAGAATAGTTTTAATCTCATTTTGTCATGTTTCACTCTAATACACATCCTAATTAATATTATGTCATGTGTCACTTTATTGTTTCTCAATTTTAAATTTGCCCCTAATAAATCAAAAATAAATGTGGCTCAAGAAATCATGATATAATCTCATAAAATCAGCATTCCGTTTTCAAAATGTTATAAATAAACAACTATCAAAAACCTAATCAAGTTAGATACTTTAAGTGATTAGATGTAAAAATTATGTAAAAAAAATATTTTTTTGCATGATTAATGATTGTTATTATTGTAGTATTTATGTTGTTTTATTAATGTCAACTAACAGTGTAATACACAGCTTAGTTCTTTTATAGTTTATTGTTAATTAATGTAACATCTATTACGAAATCAAAATGGGTTGAGAGGTGCCTAGAAAATAGTTGTGAGTTACTTACAATTCTCCCAATATGTGGCCGTTATCATCCCATTTAAAATATTAATTTTTTGCCACTATTTAGCGTCTTTAAAAATATACAAAAAAGACACAGCCAATTTAAAGAAATTATCAGATTCATTTTGATGGGTTCTCGTCCAATCTTTACCCAATAATTTATTGACTTTAAATAGTATTTGAAATATGCTTCCAAAGGTTTTGAATCTTATTTGGTTGCCTCGTTACGTCATTTTGAATCATGTTAATACAAATATTCAAATACCAAAAGGCTTCTAGCCCAACAATATCCGGTGTTGTCGTCCTCTTTGAGGTTGAAGGTTCAAGTTTCTTTAGGAACATAGGTAGTGAATCTATGAGTAATTTAAAAATAGATTAGATTTACCATTAAAAAAATATTTGATGTCAAATGGAGTGGTTATCTAATTATTATTACATTTACATTATTATAGTTAAATAAAAAACAATACTTTTCCGGAATTAATATAAATGTAAATGAAATCAGTTACTTTAGTTTATTTCATCATTCGCGAAGGAGGCTATAGATCGGATCCTAAAATGGTGTGGATTACAATACATACAATTCACCGGTGTGAATGCCTTTCTCAACTTCGCTGCTTCATGGGGCAGTTATCCAAGAAAAAAGGAGAAGGTCATGGGGGCGTTTTATACTCTTCTTTGGTTCATATGGAAGGCTAGAAACAACAAGATAATTAAAGGGTTAAATACCAATTCGGCTAAGATTACGGACGAGGTTATCACTCATATATATTTGTGGTTTAAGCATAGAACCTCAAAGGTGGGGTGGAGTATGATTGATTGGAGTATCTCTCCTTTTAGCTAGTTCTATGTATTCGCTTTGTTTTTTCAGTTGTTGTATTCTGTCCGTGATTTAGTCACTTGCTAATCTCGTGGCTTTTTAATGATATTTGCCGATTCCAAAGAAACATTTATACCGGACTTGTTATTTTTCAACAATCGAAAGAATTTTGGATACATGATTTTTAATTTAGGTTAAAAAAGAAAATTGTTAGATATTTAATTTTTACCTTTAAAACCCTACTCTGATTGTCATAGGGTGGAACCAACGGTACATAAATTAAATTCAGAAACAAATCAATTTATTATTTAATGCCTTTTTAAGTGATGATGACAGCTCACACTCGTTAAACATCGAACAGCTTCGTCATCCCCACCTCATATTCCACAAACGCCTCTCCCCCGTCTTTCCTCCGGTCACCCTGGCCCACTATTTACCACAAGCTGTTCGACCTTTATTCAAACCTAACTCCGAACCAAAACCCAAACCTATTTTACTTAATTTTACAATAACCCCGACCCTGGTTTTCGCTTTCCGAACCTCCCCCGTCAGGTTTCGTCGTTCTTGGGATTTTAATGTTCTTGACATTTTCTTTCTTCTCTCATCACGTCACGTGGATGTTCTGTTGTTTTAGTTCATATTAATTGGAAGCGAAAATTTCAGTTTGTGATTTGTTTGATTTGAGGTTAAATTTAAGAAGTGGATCTTGATCATTCGGCGTGTTCTCAATTTCGGTTGAGTACAGTCAAGGAGTCCCGATTTAAGTGAATTTCGAGTTCAATTGCGTTCAGAAGTCAAAGTCGGTCTTAACCGGTGAAGGAAATTGAGTTGAATATAGAGGTTGTCATCTCAACTTTGAAGCTTTTAGTGTTGTTTATATTGAACTTTTGATTTAGTATTGTGTTTGTATTATAATTTTACTACCAGCAATTCATTTATGTTGAATTCCGCTAATTCTGATTGGTAATTATGAATCAAGATTTTGAATCGCGCGTGTGGATCTTTTTGTTCTGAATTTTTGTTGATTACAAGTACCGATTGAAATTAAATTTCGCTTCAATTGCGTTCCGAACTCAGGCGTGTCCGATAAGGTTTGGAGAAAATTGATTGAAAATAGAGGCTGCTATCGCTTATCTGAAGTCTTAACTACGGTCAGTTCGTTTTTAGTTTCGAATTTTACTACCAGAAATTCGTTTTGAATTCGACTAATATTTGTTTTTGTTGTTACTTGTGAATCAAGGTTTTGAGTTAAATTGGATTCGTTTTCGCTCGATCGAAATGCTGGATTTAATCTGATGGCCTTCTGGTATGATGCATTTAGTGAATTTGTTGTTATGACTATTCGATTTTGTTATTCAATATTCCTTAATTGATTTTTAACCTTTGGTTTTCTTTTTCTAATGTGTAGAAGAGATTGCAGAGAAGAATTATTATTGACCTTAGTTTCAATCGGTGGTTCTGAACAAGATGGCGCAAAGTAGTTGGGAAGCTGATAAAATGTAAGCACCGTTCGTCTTTTTTGTTCCAGCTGTTTTTCATATACAGAGTTTTATAACACACGCTGGAAGTTTTAACTGTGAATTGATCTATGTTGACAAAATTTCAAACTGATTTGCTTGATGAGGCCATTTTTTTCTTCTTTTCGCAAGAACATTAATTGTTCATGTAATTGATCAAAAGTTGCACTAAATTTGAAACGGATGGATATTAGTTTTTGTTCATTTGTATTGTGGTCATTCTTAGATGATTTTATTCTAATTTTGGAATTGCCCTTTTTTGCTAGGTTGGATGTTTACATCCATGACTATTTGTTGAAACGGAAGTTGCATGCATCTGCAAAAGCTTTCATGACTGAAGGGAAAGTTGCTACAGATCCTGTAGGTATGTTGTCACGTGTTCCCTTATTGTTGATAAATTGATGACAGGTGCTCCGAATTTGATTCCCTGTTTGTTAATATTGGAGTATGAGTCAGTTGGAGAGTTAGGTTTATGTACGTGATTAAAGGGATTCATAATCAATCCATAAATGATGCATGCAGTTAACATAGTATATTAATTTGATTAAGGGCAAATTGTGAGGATTAACAACATAATTTACTCTTGTTATGTCCGATTGATTTGCAGCTATTGATGCTCCGGGTGGATTTCTTTTTGAATGGTGGTCTGTCTTCTGGGACATTTTTATTGCACGGACTAACGAAAAACATTCTGAGGCAGCTGTAGCTTACATTGAGGTCCTTGTTATATATTTATTTATTTTCACGGTTGTTTATGTTTCCTTTTCTATAATGTTTTTCCCATTGTTTTATGCTTTTCATTCCTTTTTTTTTTGTTTTTATAAACAAATACCAGACACAGCAAATGAAAGCAAAGGAACACCAGCAACAGCTTCAAATGCAACAAATGCATTTTTTACAACAACGAAATGCTCAAATGCAAAGGAGAGATCCTAATCATCCTCCCCTTGGTGCTCATGTTAATGCCATGAACAATGATGGAATGATGGGTAAGCCATCACCCAGTACACTCGGTGGTATGAAAATCTATGAGGAATCCATTAAGCCTTCTCATTCTATGGATTCGGAAACCTCTCCAGCTCTTCTTGATGCTAGCAGAATGGCCCTTCTCAAATCAGCCACTAATCATCAAGGGTATGCATATCAGTTAGTTCTCTACTATTATTTCCCCTTTTGTTTTCTTCCCTTGTATTATCATCTTACCATGTTCTTTTGGTCTTTGTTCATCCAGACAACTGATGCAAGGAAATTCTGCAAATATGTCTGCAAGTTTGCAGCAAATTCAAGGAAGATCTCAGATGAATACGGTATATTCCTATAAAATTATCTTTTTACATTTCTTTCTTTTGTTCGTGCTTGGACTCATGAAATTTTTATAAATCTTAGGAAATTAAACAAGAAGTTAACATGGGTAATACACAGAAATCGTTGCCCACAGATCCTTCATCAATTTATGGGCAAGCCATTTTGCAGTCAAAGTCTGGTATGGGCAATACAGGTAATCTTCTAACAATGTGGATGCTCAAAACCATCTACTTCCAAATTAGATTTTGCTTTATTTATTTTTTAAAATCTTTTCAGGGTTTAATCAAGGTGTAACTGGTCTTCCATTGAAGGGTTGGCCTCTAACTGTAAGTTTCCTATAGAAGTTTCTTTCAGTAATATATAAAATTTCATAGTTGACATTTGGTGTTGACTGTTGACATGCAGGGAATTGACCAACTACGGCCTGGTATAGGTCTTCAAGTCCATAAACCCAATTTACAGAACCCAAATCAGTTTTATTTGGCGTCACAACAACAACAACAACAACAGCAACAGCAACAGCAGGTATTAGCACATGCCCAGGCACAAGGCAACCTGGGTGCATCACCAAATTATGGATTTTCTGGATTATCAAGAGGCAATATAATCATGAAAGATGGTCAACCCACAAGAAACGAAGGATCTATAGGCTCCCCTGGACAAATGAGTTCACCCAAGGTTGTTAAACTCATATTCATTTGCAATTTAAAGATTAAATAAAATAAAATTAATATATATTTTAACAGATGAAGATGCCTCAAATGCAACAATCGTCTTCACAACAACAGGATCAGTTACAGCAGCACCAGCTGCAACAACAACAACAGGTAGTGTTTATGGATGGATGATTCTTGGAGAATTGAATAATTATTGAAGTTTTTGGTTCATTTAATTTACTCTTTTTTTTTTTGTGTGTGTGTGTTTAAATTTTGGAGCAGAACAATAGAAAAAGAAAACAACATTCTTCATCAGGACCAGCTAACAGTTCAGGTACAGGGAATACAGCAGGCCCTTCACCAAGCTCTCCAGCATCAACTCATACACCTGGTGATGGTGCTAGCAGTCTGCAGCATGTCAACAATGTGCAAAAAAGCATGATGATGTATGGTGGAGATGGCACGGGTGGGCTTGCTTCATCAACAACTCAGCTGGTAAGCCTGTTTGTTACATATATCATATATGTATATATTATAGCATCCTAGTTTCATTTCTACCTATTACAGCATTGTGATTATAGCAGTGAAAAGTGATATATAATTGGAAGAAGGATGGTAGGTGAAATTCTCCATGATGCTCAACCTTTTTCTACATAGTGCAGGATGACCTAGATCAGTTTGGGGATGTTGGTGCTCTGGATGATAATGTGGAATCTTTTCTACAACATGATGCAGGAGATTATGGTACCCTAAAGCAGACAGTGACAGAGCACAAGAGTGGGTCCTCCTCCTCCAATTCCAAAGGTACTCTCAAGTCTCAACTAAATCAATGATGATATAACACTTTGTGTAAAAGTTAAAAAAAGTCTTGTCATAATTGAACTCTGTCTCTATCCCCACACACAGGTTTTTCATTTGGGGAAGTTGGATGTATACGGACAAGAAATAAGGTGACATGCTGTCACTTCTCTTCAGATGGGAAGTTGCTAGCTAGTGCTGGACATGACAAAAAGGTGAGACCACTACTGTACTATTATTATTATTATTATTATTATCATTATCATTACAAAGCAAAACATATACCTTTTGTAGTGCTTCATGGTTTTTATTTTGGAGAATGTGTCATAATCCATTAAGTGGATATATGTAATAATTTTATTTTATTTTTTCAGGCGGTTTTGTGGAACATGGATACCTTAAAAACTGAGAGCACCCCTGAAGAACATCAGTACTTAATTACCGATATACGGTTTAGACCAAATTCAACTCAGTTTGCAACTGCTTCTTTTGATAAGTCTGTACGGCTATGGGATGCAGCCAATGTAAGATTTTTTGTTTCAATTCATCTATCACGCACACAAACACACATTGATGAGGAGGGCAATCACGTCTTTTTCAGAAAAGATATATTTTGCATTTTTTGTTCGGCCAAAGTAGAACCTGTTGTGTTTACAGTTTAAATAAATAAATAAATATATACATGATGTTGCAGCCAAGCTATTGTTTAAATGCATACACGGGGCATTCCGGGCATGTTATGTCCCTGGATTTTCATCCAAAGAAGAGCGACCTTTTCTGCTTCTGTGATAGTATGAACGAAATCCGCTATTGGAATGTTAGCCCATTCCAATGTGCTCGCATCTCAAAGGTTTTTTATGTTTTTTTTTTTTTAATTTGTATATTCCCAAATTTTATTTTTTGTATCAAACTAAAGTATTGTTATTATTGGATTGGCAGCAAAGAGGCGTTGAACAAGTGCGATTCCAGCCGGTAACTGGGCATTTACTGGCAGCAGCATCTGATAAAATAATCTCCATCTTTGATGTGGAAACCGATAGACAAACACATTCTTTTCAGGTATGTTGTGAAAGCATGTTTCAGTAATGGCATATGGAATCACAATTACATATTGAGTGAGTTGATTTGGTTTTTTAATTTACTTAAGGGACATGCGGGAGTATTGAACTACTTGTGCTGGGATTTGAACGGGGAGTATCTGGCTTCTGTTAGTGAGGAATGTGTGAAAGTGTGGTCGTTAGCTTCTGGGGAGTGCATTCATGAGCTCACCTCAAATGAAAACCAATTCCATTCTTGTGTTTTCCATCCAAGTTATTCTACTCTTTTGGTTATTGGTGGAAGTCGTGTAAGTTGCTCTTTTTTCTTTTTCTTTTTCTTTTTTTCTTATATCAACCACCTTGCTGTTATTAACTTACAAAATTGTAATGGATGATTTTTGGTATTCAAAGGGCTAATTGCAATAGGTAGCAACACACTTTCTTTGATTTGTAATATATCTACCCAATGAAACAATGTCATCCAAAAAAAGCAATTTTCACTACTTACTATTATGATTGGGTAGATATTTCAAAGTAAAATGTTGTAATAGAGAAAAAAAACGAAAGTTAGTACACAAATAAAAGAAAAAACTGAAAGTAGATTGTTATGTCTTGCATCTATCTTATTCCCTTTTTATGTTTTTTTTTTTAAATATTGTACAGTCGTTGGAGCTGTGGAACATGGCGGAGAACAAGCGGATGATAGTTCCAGCTCATGACAACATAATATCTGCTTTGGCACAGTCACCTGTTACTGGAATGGTTGCCTCTGGGAGTCATGACAACTCTCTTAAGCTGTGGAAATAAGTCAAAAAAAATTAAAATAATAATACATCAACCAACCTCTATAACTATACATGCCCATGCTCATGCCCCTTAAATCAAGGTGCTAAAATTTGGTCTCAGTGTACTTTTCAGCCTTCCTTCCTTATATAAGAGTTTTAGTGTTAAATGATTGATTTGTGGATATTCCCCAGTTAGGAGTAAGCTCAAGTTGAGTATCGGTATGTATGTATAATAATTTTATCATTCCAGTTTCTGGGTCTTTTTACTAGTCAAGTTTCATGTTATTTTCATCTGTTACTCGGTTTTTTATTTTTTATTTTGGGTTTTGTTTGTCGCATATATGGATCCAAAGCTTTCCGATGTGAGAATCTCAATTCTCAATCTCCTGAAACAACACTAGCAAGAACCACGTGTCACGTGTACAATCTATTGATATGTACACCTTTCATAAGCTTGCATTGCATTTATTTATTATTATTTTTTTTAAATCAACCCCACAAGCTTATATCAAAGATACACTATCTAAATGATTTAAAAGAGACTCGTTGATTGCTATTATCACAGTATTTATTCTAAATATCCAACTGAATATTTAATAATCCTTCAACCTGAATCCATGTCAAAATAGTAAGGGTAGGTTTGGAGAGTCTAGTGAATACATCAAAAATTAGACTTTTGAATGGAATCGGATAACGGCAAGAATCCAATCCTAAAGTTAAACTCCCATAAATGTTTTCAAAACCGTTTTGTATATAAAGGATATAAGGGCTAAGAAGAATTAGTGATAAGCAATACAAAACAAGTTTTAATGCAATGCACATACACATGCTTCTAAATCCCAACTCGAGTTCTCTACTCTCAAAACAAAGTCTCTTCCATTCTAGGGTCCCAATGGTCCAATGACATAAACAAAATAGTAGCATCATACTCAAAACCAACTTTGAGTCCCGAACACTAAGTTCAACATTTTGGAGTTATGTGTCCATCCATATCCACAAGTATGATGCTTAAACAAGTTTTCAACCAACATTTGCATTTTTAAATGAAGACATTTCCAAAATGCACAAACATACCAAAAAGGTCAAATAGAAAGCAAAGGTACTTGTTATATAAGTTTATACCAAAATATTTAGCAAATATCGTGATAGGAACATGTACTCAACATTCACTCACCTCAAGTGTTTGTTATGCTTCATTACTCCTTCCGAAGACAAAAGACTTCTTAATTACCACCTAAAGAATACCATTAATGGATAACAAACTACCGAAATATCCTTGCAAAGTTGGTTAACTAAATTTTTGGTTTAAAAATACGAATTTCAAGGTTATATGAAAAATGCGAAAGGAGCTAGAGGTCAAACGGACAAGCCAAACTTGAGTTATGATTAACGTTTTTATGAAACAGACATAGCTCAAATCCGACCGAGCTCATTTACACTAGCCTTGGGTCTGCCCGGGTTCAGCCCATTATGCACAAATGGTGATTTTTACTCATTTGGCTATTGTACTTTAGTCCTTATGCATCTAAACATTTCATAACTCTTAGAAATGACTCTAATGGATGTAATAAGACTAAGAAATTTATTTGATACTAAATTACATCTCATTTACATAATGACTTAGTGACTAAACTTATATGTACTTTAGTCCTTATTACATCCCATTGTACTTTAGTCCTTTTCCGGTTAAATTTCGGGGTTTTTGGTTCGATTTTGTTTTTTTTTTTTGGTTTTTTTTTTGTTTCAATTTCGAGTTTTTTAGTTAACAAATGTGCGATTAACACCAAAATTATATATTAAGATTTAGTAAAACAATACACTAAAAATTAATAAAAGAAAGGAGGAAAGAAGATGGGTAATATGTGATTAACAAATGTATAACTAACACAAAAATTATATGTATACAAACTTTGGCTTTGTTGTTTAGACCAGTCTCGGATGAGTCAAAAAACCATTACCTATCTTTTCTTCGTTTTTGGATCTAACCACCATTACTTGGCTTTCAATAATATGATTCAAGTTTCTTATAAAACCATGGCTCACATAACGCGCAATCTTCAAAACAAAAGCTCGACCCGTATATAGAGATAATTCTTCTAAATACATTGTTGCTCCCAGTGATACACCTAGAAATCGAAAGATTCAATCATAATTTTACAGAGGAAAACATGAAGGAGAATTACCACACGACACTTCCTAATAATTAGAAAAAAAAAAACGATACTGATGCTAAAGTTGAAAACACAAAGTTGGAGCTTGATGTTAACGAGAACACAGAAAGATACACAAGATTAACCGGACTACGTGCTACACCTAGCCCTAACCCTAGCATTGATGAGAATAACTCCAGATTAGGAAGAGAGAATTATACATGATATTGATGCATCGCCAACGATTAACACAGATGAATATAGAAGAACTGTAAGCATGAATATGAAGTGCTCGTGGTTCCACCAACAGCCTCACCTCAACCTAAAACTCAAAAGAATAATCGAAGATTCAGGGGGTGTTGTTAATTATAACTACCTGATCTCTCGATGCGACCCATGATGCCAAGCAAAAAGTCTGACAAACAATCAATGTCCTCTTGTCTCTTCATTTCACATAATTTTAGCATTTGAATTTATGAAATTGCCAAAAGGTCAGTTGGATCTCCTCATAAAATCCATCATAACCATCCTAAACATAAATACACCATTATACTTTTATTGGTGATGAATTGTTAAAATCTAAAATATTGGTGTGTTGGAATATTGGTGTGTTGAACGAAGATTCAGTATATTGGCAATAAAAGGTTAGAGTATTCTTGATGGCTTCTTTGGGTGAGTTAATTATAACTACCAATTCATTGGAACATCAACCCATGGATAGTTAGGCCATTAGATATACTCCACAAAGTGTTTATCGCCACATAGCTTCACTACATCCTTACTTACCTTTAAAAAAATTAAAAAATTTAAAAAAAAAAAAAAAAAAAAAAACATTCCACATCACCGTTTTTATATAAAAATAAAATCTAACCCAGAAAGAAATAAGAAAAATAGAGAGCTTGTGAAGCTCCATGGAGCTACACACTTCACGCCACCATTAAAAGGTTCTTACTCTTGTTTGGGATGGTGTTCAAATAAGTCTCACTTAACATACATATTGTATAGACTTATGGTGTTGTCTCTATCATCTTTTCAAATGTTTAACTACTTGTAAAATGAACCAAACCATATGGACCATTTTTGTAATTAACTCTATCCTTTATTATGTTATTACATTTTTAAATATTTATTAGTAGGGTCATTACTTTTACAAGTGAATTAGATAAGGTTTTTAATTACAAGTTAAATAATGTAACTATAGGTCAAAAGCTCTGACAACAACGAACTAAGACATGAAATTCTGGTCTGATGGACCCATGTTATTTGGTACACATACTCGATTCTAAGGTTACGATTTTGCACATATGCTACCATACACTATATGTTCCATAAAACAAGAGGGAATTAGAAAAATCATTTCATGCTGTTGATTGACCTTCATTATTCCTTTTAGTTGTTACTCAGATTACGATTTTAGTTGCAGATGCTTTTCCGTCTTTCTTCTCGCCAATTCCAGCTGCATGCACAACAAACAAACAGTAAGACCAAAACACACAACATCCCATATGGAATTAGATGCGTTCGCTTATGAATATATGTAGGTAATTAGGATGTTTTTTAATCTGGATATGGAGAATTTGCAAAATTTAAACAATCTATTTTCTCCTTTTCCATTAACATGGTTCACTTTTATAGTCAAAGTTTGCAATTTTGCAAGGTGGGTGGAAGGGCATTTATGTCTTTTGCAAGCTTTCTAGGAATATTTTTGATGATGGTGATGAAGGGCATTCACGTCTTCTCTACACGAGGAGAAATAGAAAACGAGTCCATGTTGTTTTGTCCCATTAACATCAATCGGTCTCAATCCAATGCATGTCACACGCAGTCCTTCCTACATATACATTTCTTACAAACAAAATGTGTTTGCTTTCATAGCAAACTGAAAGCTTTGGAATCTTCTGAAATGCGGAAAATTTGGAATCTGAAAAATCAAATAAATTAAGCCAAATGTGGAAGATTTGGAATCTTCTGAAATGTGGATAACTAGGCTTCGAATTGAGATCGAACAAGAATGCATTTAGGATGTGAATCAAAAGCACAAATCAAAACAATATACTGACATAAGGATCATTGGCAACAAGAAAACTAAGACATATGAGATATGAGCAATTCAATGAACTGACCAGATTGGGGGAGTGTGGGGACTTCGCCATAAATCGACTTGAGTTTTGAGAGTGGAACAATTGGTTTTTTATCAGCCTCAGCCTCGGTATAGAGCTTTTGCTTCCAATCCCAAATGGTTTGTCGCATTGATTTGTTGGATTTCACAAGCGAATCCCTTTGAGATTCTAGGGATTCGATCTGTCTTTGTTGGTTCAATGATCTAACTGCCAATCCTCCGAACGCGCCCACAAGGAATATGTTGATTACTGTGTTGTTGCTCGCTGCTCTGTTCGCAAATTCCATAGCCTTCGTAGCCAATTCCATCTCTCTACAACACACACATACACAGAAAATTGAACTCTACAACAGATAGCCAATTCCATCACATCTACTTGCATTTACATAATATTCACAGATTGTTTGGATAAATAGTTTTTAGCTTAATTTGTTTAAAATGTGTTTGGATTAGCTTATTGCGGTAGGAATAAGCAATAAGCAATAAGCATTTTAAGTGTTTGTCAAACAAAACAGTTTATATGAGTAAAATGACCAATAGGCAATAAACATTCCCCTTATTAAAATCAGCTTATTTGGCCGCAATAAACTGATTTTTAAAGACTTGCGGTGGGATTAAGCAATAATCATTGCGGTGGGATTAAGCAATAATCAATAAGCAGCCTATTTTTCTCTATCCAAACACCCCCAAGTAACAAAGAGCAAAGTCAAAAGAAGCAATCACAAATTCAGTAGCAAAGTCAAGCAGCAATCACAAATTCAGTAAAGAAGTCGTCGATCAGCAAGAAGAGGAGGGAGAGGGAAGACTCAAGAACCTTAAAAGGAATAAGATGCTTACCTACTTAGCTCTTCGTGGCTTAATTTGATGGTGGGGGTCGATCGGTAGATCAGCAAGAACAGGAGGGATAGGGAAGTCGCATACTCGCAAGCAAGAAAAAAAAAAACGTTGAAAGTCGGTAGTTCCGAGTTTCGATTAGGTTAGATCGGGAAAGAATGTCCATATATCGGGCTAATAATAGTGGGCTGGCCCAAAAGAAAAATGTAAAAGTCAGACCCAGACACTCGCGTGCTCTGAGCCTCCGACTTTCTTTTCATCTGAAGAATATTCAGAATAAAATAAGCTGAAGAAAACTTGAAATCACAAACCGAAAGAATCAATCAGCCATGGAAGAATGCAATGAATCGGAGCAGGTTTCTGATCATTTTATATGCGCCGTTTGCTTGTAATATTCCCAAACTTCGTTATAACTTTGCTGTTATACAATTTCGCACAATTAAATTTGTTTTTTCTGCTTAATTTTAGGGTTTTGAATTATATTTGTTGTTTCTCTAGTGGCTCAATTACGATTCGTATTTATATTCATGTATGAAGTAGGAATCGAGTAAGATTCGACGTTAATTTTTATAGTTCTATTGGTTTCTACTAGAATTTAGACTTTTTTTTATTTTGTTATAAGATGTAGTCCTTCTAAATTCGAGATTATAAATAGCATGGATTTGAAGCTTGGTATAACACTGTTTCTGCGCTAACAATTTTGATTATTATAAGGTATAAGTTTCATATTGTAGTGATGTGTACTAATATGAATTTGAAGGTTGGTATATCATTTTCTGGGCTTATAGTTTGATGATTATAATCTACTATGTTCTATATACATGCTATTTCTGTTAATTTTTCGCAAGCTTTTGTTTTCTTCACTAATGTTGCTTTTTTGTTTCAGAGACATTCTGTACAAACCCATTGTTTTAGGTAGGAAAATTCAAATGCTTGAGAAAACTGGATTATGCTACTGATGTTATTTTTGGTATTATGTTACTAATTTACTACTTGCATTGTTCTTGATATTTTTGCAGTTTGTGGCCATGTCACCTGCTTCTGGTGTTGCCACCACTCCATGGATATGAGAGGTCAATCTCATTGTCCATTATGTAGGCACCCATATCGTCATTTTCCAGCCATCTGTCAGATACTAGACATCTTTCTCAAGAAGATGTATCCAATCTCTTATGACAGAAGGAAAACACAAACACTTGGTAATTTCTACATTACTCTACAACTGATTTATGCATTTATATTAGATAACAGTTTGAAACTACGCCTTTAATGACTTTTTTTATGGAGTTTTGACCTAATTTTCTATGTTTCCATGGTATAGAGGATGAGCGACAAGGCTTGTTAGGCTTTGCTACAGATATAGACTCTGTTGTTACTGGTGAAAAATTAGATCAGCCTTCCAAATCCAGTTCTGAAGATAATTTGTTGATAAATCCTTCTACTGAAGAAAAGAAATCTGTTGATGGAAGTTCTGCGGGAAACTGTAAGCAAGTAACAGTTGCTGATATGCTTTGTTCTGCATGCAAGCAGCTGCTATTTCGACCTGTTGCTCTTAATTGTGGTCATGGTATGCTTACTCTCTCTTTTTCTATTAGCTTTTATTTAGTTTCTTTTTGGTGTTTTCTCATCCAAAATGTGAAAATTATTATTTACGTTTTTTTCTTCTTAAATTGATGTTTAGTTTACTGTGAGGCCTGCATCAGTGTCCCAGAGGATAAAGTAATTAAATGTCAAGTTTGTGAATGTCATCATCCGAGTGGATTTCCAAAAGTCTCCAAGGAGCTTGATTATTTCCTAGAGGAACATTTTTCTTCAGAGTATGCACATAGAAAAAGCAGTATGCAGCTCCACAAAGAGCAAACTCAAAATGGAAATTCATTGACAAGTGAGTTTTGATGATGTTATTATATAGCTACACATGTCTCATATGTTGCCATTATATATTTACTTTCTGTATGTCTTTGAACTTTCAAAATTAGGTTCATCAGCAGCTGATGCTGAAGCTTCCAAGTTTCCATATCCAACAGAAGAGAATTTCCTTCAATGGTGGACTGCTCATGGCTCAAAATTTCATCCTGGGGTTGGTTGTGACAGGTGTGGGGTAAGTTCCTTTTTCTTTTTATGCTTTTGTAGCATCACCATAATAGCATTTCTATATTGTTTAACATGTGTGTATTGAAATTTTCATTTGTTAACACACAGATGTGTCCAATAATTGGGGAAAGATATCGATGTAAAGACTGCAAGGAAAAAAGTGGTTATGATTTGTGTGGAGATTGCCACAAAACAGACTCAAAGCTTCCAGGCAGGTTCAACCAGAAGCATACCCCTGAACACCAGCTTGAGTTAGTTAAACCAGCCATCAACCGAGATGTCATCTACAGATTGTTAAGTGGACAGCTGGCAGTTGTTTCTGCTGCTTCTCGGAATCGCTCAAACCCACCTCTTAATCAAGCCTTAGAATCTGCATCTTCTTCTCTTGATGAAAATAATAATGTTAATGATGATGATGATGATGATGACGGCTCAAGAGAAGGTCAGAGTCACAATGAAACACCTTTATGAAAAGTGAGTATGCTCAACTCTTCATAACTATTGTGGGAAATGGCAACCTACTTTACTCTTGTTACACATAGGGCAATGTACTTTATGTTTTTCTTACTCATAATAGCAGTGTACTTACATTTTGCTAGCAATGTGGGTAATGTACTTTGTTTCTTACATATTGTTGTTAACACTTAACAATAAAGAAATGTAAGTAGATTGCTATTATGGGTAAGGAAGTGTAAATCTTGCTATTTTTCCACCCATAATAGCAATGTTACTTATATTTTGTCACCAATAATAGCAAAGTACTTACATTTCATTACCAATATCGGTAATGTACTTTATTCGTTGCGTATTGCTATTAATGGTAGAGAAATATAAGTATGTTGCTGTTATGGGTGAGGAATTGTAAGTAGGTTGCTATTTATGCGTAAAGAAATGTATATATGTTGCTATTATGGAGTACATATTCATATTATTGGTAAAAAATTGGAAGTACATTGTTATAATGCATAAAAAGTGAAGTACATTGCCCATATTGGTAACAGGAGTGAAGTACCCTGCTATTTCTTGCAGTTTGTTGTATACTTGAACTTCGGTCATCCGATCACAACTAAACTAGCCGTTGTCTTGCCACACCATTAACCACATTCTTTGGTGTTCAAATGAAAATTCTTACCTTGGATTTTTGTAATTATTTGGATATAGAGTCGTTTGTGCATTACTATAAACATTCTGAAAATTAGGTAGTGCTTGGTATGATGGAATTGGAGCTTGTTTCTTTTTTTTTTTTTTTGTGATAAAATACTAAAGGAATATCAACGGATTGGATTCCTTAGCAAGAGGACAACTATTTTCTCATCCCAACATGGATGGTTAACCTAACCGAAATTGTAATTCGGAAGGTTAATCAATACTATCGGTTGGTTAATTTCTTGAAACTAAATTTAAACCGAAAAACTGGTTAACAGGTTTTTTATTTAGTTAAAATAGATAATTCAACATTGAATAAATTCTAGATACAAATGAAAATTAATAACATTCATGGAAACATGTTCAAACTAAAACATTAATACAACCATAGATAAATTCAAGTGTTAATGTAATAACCACATTAATACAAACATAGATACAAATATTAATCCTATATTCCTACGAATAATACTTAATACATTTAAAAATATATATAATTTTTTTTATTAAAATTCTAAATGGGTTGGTAGGTCAATCCGTATCTTTTTTGACAAACCCATATATGACCTAAATATGATCTGTTTATTAAGGTTGACGGGTTGAAAAACTCAACCAAAACCCATTTATTTCGTGTCGTGTCGCAGGTCGTGTCGAGATTTGCTATAGTTTATGGGCGTGTTCGGCACACAATTTTTGGGAGCTTTTAGCTTTTAAGAAAAAACTTGAAATAAAAAAAAATTCCTTCAGCAGCAACAAAAGCTTGTAGCTTTTGGGTTAAACAAAAAATTTTAAATCCAAAAGTTCTTTCAACTAACGTTTAACAAAAGATTCTTTTAGATTTTAACAAATTGACTAAAATAATCTTTAAAATATATAAATCATATCAATACTTTTAGTATTTAAATTATATTGTAAATATAAATATATTAAAACAATTATGAATTCTTTATTGGAAAGAACGTGTGTATATATATATATATATATATATATATATATATATATATATATATATATATATATATGGAGTGGTTCAAATGAGATACCAAAAAGGTTAAGAACCATAAAAACCATTTTTTAAATGTTTTTATTAAAGACATTTTAGACTAATCCAACATTTATATTGTATTAAGAAAACTTTTTCATTCCTTAGTATACAAACCTTGCCACTTGTCTTCGGTCCACCGTCAGATCATCGTCGGACCACCGTTGGACTGCTTAATATATAAAATTCATAATTTAATAAAATACATTCATAACTCATTTACAAGTATAATTTCATATTTCATTGTATTAAACAACTACTTTACTGTTTAATAGATACATAAATTATCTAATATTTTATAAGTAAACATCAAAATAAAAACATATACATGAATCATAAAAGATGATAACTTATCTGGAATCAACAAAGAAGATGAGTGAGAAATAGAACATATCATTACTCTACCACCACCATCATTATCAACACCACCGACTACCATCAACCATCGCCACCACCAACCATCGGTGCCAACACCTCCAACATCTTCCTCAAAAATCAGATCTGGATAAAAAAAATATACATTGACAACTTAATAACTTACATATTCACAAATTAATAAATAAAAAACACATATTCACAGCTTAATGACTTACCAAATTTCGTTGAGGCATTTCATCAAACACTTTGTGTGCACCACATACATCAAATGCATAATCACCATAAAACATCAGATCTGACTAGATATATAAGAGTCTTATCATCGCTGAAGTCACGTGACGTTGTTTGGTTCACCGACGAGGTTTGACGACAAGAACAGATCCAGAGCTTGAGAGAAAAAACAACAAACAACTTTCAGAGAGATCTGAGATGAAGAAAACAAAACCAGATGTTCAACTTGAAGAAGACGACACCAGATCTCGTCGACGCTCGCAGATCTGGATTTCTGTTATGGAGAAAATCATAGATCAGGACCGGAGGTCACAAATCTTAACATTGGTGGTGCTAGAAATCGTAGATCTGGAACGAAGCTTGCAAATC